AACCAAGAGAAACTCCATGATCTTGCTTAGTTGTAGAATTAGAAGGCATTAAGTTTAGGAGAAGTTGACAGGTTGAGGTGGGTTGATACGCAATTATCCCCCCCCTCTCCCCCCCTCCCCCCCCCCTCCCCCCTCTCCCCAAAGCTCTGGTAGTGCAAATATCAACCAACGTAGTTGGTAGGGGGGGGGGGCGCCTACTACTATTACTACTACTACTACTACTACTACTACTACCACTACTACCACTACTACTACTGCTACTACACTCCTACTTCTACTTCTTCTTTTTGTCCGTCTGCCACTGCCAGTGCGTTCACGAAGATAACTATGGTGAAGTAGTTGGCAGCAAGAGCTAGATACTCCTACAACGACACGTGTCAGGTTGTCTGACTTGTATGAATGCTACTCCCTTGTTTCATTCATTGACCACGTCTGTCGGGACTATCCGCATCAGCCCTCCGTGCCTGGGAGGCTGCGGAGTGACTGCTCAAACGCGCGAATGTCCCGCAGGACAGACTCGGAGAAAACCTCGGAGCCAAGCTCAAAAGAATCTGCTTCACGGTCGACGTGTACTCCTTACGTGAGTGCACACGCCGCTTGAAGACCCAGACTTCCCTCATAGGCAGCAGGATCCCCAGAAAAAGCTGAAATTCTCATGGCCCAGCCCTGGGGTCTCTAGGCATAGGAGGACATAGACAGCACCGATACGCAACAGGGTACAACGGGATAAACACACGAGCCACTACTGCAGAGCGGGTGGCAGATCCATCTTTGGCCTCGTAGAGTATTTCCACTTTCAGCATGGTGCGCTGGTTAAGCGCCTCAACAGCACCACTGACTATCAGGAAGCTGCGGCACAGAAACGACTGATACACCTGAGGCGGCGCTCGAAGGGGAAGTTGGGAAGCTCCCCGCCGCAGCTCGCAGGCTAGTGGAATCCAGGTGAGTGTCTTAAGTACTTGTATTGCACTCGCCAATAAGATTCCTGAGTGCATGTCCTCGCGGGTAGACGCAGAATCAAAGAATGCGGCAGTGACATGCATACGCCAGGTCTTGGGCTGATTGGTTCCTGACGGCCCGCATGAAAGTCAAGGAGTCTAAATACCTCAGACACGCGGATCTTATTCGTGCCAGTCAAGGGCCGCAATGAAGCGAAGGGGGGCAGACTGATGCTTGGCAAGGCAACAGGTCGCAGTCTCTGGCTACTATACTAAACTATAGGAGGAGGTGAGCCCGACGTGGGTACATGGACGCTCAGGCCCTCCAGCCAGCCCTGCTGGATGTGATGGTGCAAGATGCTTAGCTACGTGTCGGCGAGGCCCGCACGTAAGTTGTGCCCTTGCGGCTGGTCCGTCAGCACGCCGAAAAGCATCAATGTCGGCATCTACAACTATGGGCCTGGGAGAAGACGTGCATCTGACAGCAGTTGTAACGGCATGTAACAGCAGTTGTCCCTGCTGTGGCGCTGATGAAAAAATTGAGTACAGGTAAATACGTAGAGCAGGTCTCGATAGATCCTTCCAACACAGCTCCTCTTGTTGAGTTTGCCTTGTCAGAGTTCAGCCAGCCCGCCTCCACGTCATGGGAAGCACCACAAGCACCACTATCGCCTGAGCACTGCAGACCGAGATGTGAGCAAACCAATTGTCAGCGTGACTTCGGTCAGCTTTAGCCCTCAAACAAGGACTTGCTTATACAGGCAAGTGTCCCAAAGCAGCAAATACGCCCACGGTCTTCGTGCCAGCCTCATGCAACCGCAAATTCAGCGCTTGATGGCTGGATGGGTAGAAAAGCTTGCACCCGCCCAAGCAACTTGCATGCTAGATGCAAGCTCGTGCAGCAAGTGTGCTTCAACCTAGTCTTCGTGGGAGGACAGCTGGCTGCATCTCCAGCATGCTTAGAATCAATTCTTGCCCTGCAGAGGTACCCCTAAACCAAAACGATTGATGTCCTCCAGTATCAAAAGCGCATGGTGCTGCAGCACGGAAAGCACTGACAGCAAAGAATACTGAGTACATACCTCACCAATCCCGCCGTAACTCGGATAGGCACGTGTCGCAGTAGGCTCGAGGAATCTGAAGCAACAAGTTCTTGACCTAGCACTCAGCTTTGTAAGTCGCAATGGCTATCGATAGGCCAGCATGGGCTTTCTCCTCCAGGTTGGCATTCTGTGCAAGAAAGACTGAACCAAAATCCAGACTGTACCGAAACACTCCGCGAACGTTGCAGACATCTTGTGCTAGACTGATCTGACAACGCTTCAGACTTGCTCAGGCCGGAACATCAGAAAAGGTCCATGAAAAGCAAAAGGATATCAGCGAACAGCGGCAGCACCGCCGACCCTGCAGGCATAAGTCTATCAGAGTGTGCGCTCGGGGTTGTTTCAAAGTCGACAACATTGAGTAAGTTGTTCTGCAGCAAGGGCTGCCCTGTAAGCAATCTGGGATGAATGCAAAAGTGCAAACAACAAACAACTACACTGACTACACAAGTCTTGACTGAGATCTGGACATTTGCCACTCACTCCCCCTAATTGAGAGCACACACACGCTACTCGACTTCACGGCACATCCCTGCCTTGCCAATCCAATTTGGATGCTACGTTGGCTTCTCAGCTTGAAGCTATGGGCACAGTACAGAAGCGCCTTTTTGGCAGCAGCGTCTGGCACTGGCCTGCAGACACCGTCTAAATCAGTGATTAACAGTCTGCGCAGTTGAGCTGCTTGAGAAACATGCCAAGTGTGGGAGAGGGACTCTGGATGACTCTGAAAGACATGGGTGTGCAGGGGGGACCGGGCTTGCGGACAAAAAGTCTCGTCATCATTCTTGCCTGGCGCCTGTCATCCGAATTTGTTGTTTCACTGCACTTGCTTTGCAGGCCCACAAGTTTCGAGAGACAACTTGCAACAGCAAGCAAGTCCAACGAGATCATTCATCCAAAATGGCAACCATCTTGATCCATGAATCTCTCTCACTCCCCCACTTCCGCCGCCGTTGCTGTCACTCTCTCCCGTCCCCGTTGCACCATGCCCCATATGCACCACATGCATTAGGACATGAGAATTATGAGTGCAGCTGGGTCACTTCTGGAGTGGCTGCAGGGGAGCCGGCTCCTGCTTCAGCTGCAAGCTGAGAGCTGCTAATCACGATGTGCGAGCAGCATTCCAACGTTAGAGGCAACACAGGAGGTACAAAGCTTGCTTCGGTAGATTTCGGTGATAAAAGTATCCTACTCCTCTGGTTATGCAGCTCAGGCACCAAGAAAACTTTAAACCCACATTGCCCTGCGAATCGCCTCAGGCGCGTCACCAGCAGCTGGTGGCCGGCCGCGAGCTGGTGTCGACTTGGTCGCAAGAAGACGCTCCAAACAGTTTGTCAAAGAAGGAGCTCCAAACCTACACCCTGAAAATGGAGATTCCATCATCATATTTCTGCCCTGGCCATGAAGCCTCACATTTTGGGAGCTGCCCGTTGGAAAAAAATGGCTTGCATAAAGGGACATGCAGTTACAGAGTGTTTAAAACTCTGCCTGACAGGCTAGCATGCAGCAAACCAACTCGTTGTGGTGGGTGCCATGCTTGTACTGCAGGCTGCACTAGGAGAAAGACCTCAACGACTCAAGGTTAAACAGCTAAACCCCGAAACTACAAATGCTCAACATGGCTGTGAAATGGCCTGTGTCACATCCTTTCAAGGTTGTCTGCGGGTTGCCTATGACTAAGTTGCTTTGGCCACGGGGATGTCATGGACCAACTTTTGAGTTTGGAGGGAAACACTATGCATCCCGAAACTCTTGGAGTTGGGCGCTCAAGCGAAGGTCGGCATCGGCCACTCTGCCTGCAGCCTTCCACAATGATCCCATGAGCTCACAAGATGTCATTCAGATCACTGCCAGCTCACTGCAAATGCTCTGAAAGCTTCTGCTTGGCTCTGGATTGCTCCTCAACCTTTTTTCTCTATGCATGGTCTAAGGTCTGAGGCATTGGCTCGCGCAGTGCGCGAAAGGAAGTTGCTAAACTGCTAGTCCGTCCCACGGATCTGCACAAGGACTGCTTTCTCCTGATCTTTCAGCAGGTCCTCGAAGGACTAGTTCGCCATTAGGCCAGCATTCCATGGCTCTTGCTTTCTTGGACTGGGCACTATCATTTCAGTCGCAACCCTTGCTGGTGATGTTACATCCTGAGGAGACATGTTCTCCTGGTCACCCATCTTCCTTGCAGGCATCCCAAGTGCCCACTGCAGTGCCTAAGTACAGAGTGTCCCTACAGTGGCCGACACAGCACTTTTCCAGGCTTGACCTAAGGTTGGAGCGGTGAGGAGGCTCAGCGCAAAGTACGTTTAACCAGTGGCAAAAAAAATGCTAAACTTATTGTATCAGATGCCTCTATATCTTGACTGCATTGTGCGGCCTGAAAGAAGCCATGGATGCGATTTCTGCTCGCGCATATGCCACACCCGTCTCTGGTCACTTCGCAGCACCTATCGGTGAACCTACAAGCTTTCCCAAGGCCCTTGTACATGCTTGAAACTGGATGTCCTGAAATCTCTTGGCGCGAGCATTGCCAAGGGCATATTCCCAAATCACCCGTGCAGCTGAGGCATCGTCACGGGTCTCTTATGTTTCTGGGTTCAACTGTATACTGCTTGCTATGCTACACGATGTATACAAGGAACCTCAAATCTCACATTTCTACTCAGCTTCTTCCTCAGCCTTGCATCATTGATGGCTCGGGTTGCAATCGGGGTTTAGCGGCATGACAAGCACTGCTCCTACGTGCTGGAGGAGACTGAAGACAAGCCCAACCTGACGAAAAGCTTATTCCCCAAGCTACATATGTTCTTCTTCAGTCTCCTCTCACGCATACTCATTGGTCACTGCTGGCAGGTTTTGCTGGACTGGATCCCGCACTGAAAGTCATCACTGGCGGCAAGGGCAGCTCAGCTTTCGACATCCTGATCAGGGTCGCGGTTAAGCTCTGGGAGGACAAGTTGTTACCACTGCGCACAAGCTTTTGTTTGTCCTTGGCCTGCCACGCAAGTCGGAAGAAAGGGCTCCCTATACTAGCAGTTACTAGCGGCAATTAACACATGACCCTACTCACACGGCTCCGCAAGAAATGGCCACTTTTGTTAATTTGGAGAGCTCCCAGCGTTTTCAAGCCCGAGCCTGGAGCTTGATAAAGTAAATGAGGACTTTGTTGTAGACCAGGACCTGGCAGTTTGTTTCAGCTTCAGCTCATTGGCGATACGAAGTCAATCAACAGCAACAAGAAGAAACAAGATGAATGAGCAAATTGAAAATTAAGTCCGCGGTCCAACAAATTATTGGACCACGGACAATCTCAAGCATACCAAAACATTCCGAGACCAAGGCGTGCTCAGGCGCATACAGAATGCACAGAGACATGTAAATCATCGTCCTCACTCGCGGCCCAGCCTCTTCTGGCCCATCTTTTGCGCATAAGTACTGATTTCCTGCTGCGTCAGCCCATCTCGGAACCAGTTACATGAAGAGCCCCGCCGGCGCTTGATGGGAGTGGCTCCTCTGTAGAAGCGGTCTGGGAAGATGACTTCCTGACTTCCAAAACCACTCGCACAGCGCAAGATTCCACAGGGATCCCTATCTGAAGAACTATCCGCTACTTTCACAACGTCACATCAAAGTTGACAAGTTTCCAAATCGCAGATTGGCATATGTGACCCGAAGATGCTATCAGGATCGACTTCTGCCTGCGTCTCTGCAATTTTGACATAATTTGCACACCATTGCGGAACGCGCTTCTTGGTACGATCGGGTTCAACGCGATTGCCGTGCATGTCTTCCTCCAGGTCTGATATTTCGTAATTGTCCTCCTCCAGCTTGGGCTGCTCGAGCTGAACCCTCTTTGTAATGGGACGATGATGCTTAATCATACGGTGCTGTTTGGCCGCTAGGGAGCTGCAGCCTCTCTTAGGCTGTGGCATCTCAAGTGCTTTTGTCGGTCGCTCCTCAGCAACTGGAGGGGCGGACCGTTTTCTTTCAACGGATGCTTGTGACTTCGCCGAGCTGCGGGTGTCCGCCGAGCGGGCTGGGGCTTCTTGGGCCTGAGGCAATTTGCGCTCAGAAGGCCGTACCGGCCGTGCTTCAGCTTGCTGGTCACCCCACATTTGGTCTTTCTTCTTGGACTGAGAAGCTGCAGGTGCAGTGTCGGGACTAGGAAAGTCCATCTGATTGCCGGCTTTCTGTTGTGCTTCCGCTGAGGCCGCCTCCTTTCCGCTAGCTGGCACGGCTTCTCTGGGAGCTTCAGCTGCAGGATTTGAGCTTGCTCCCAGTGGTCTGGGGAGTCTCATGATGTCGCCCACGGGCGCCAAGTACGAAGGCCGCTGCTTGCCGACCTTGCGGTGCCGCGGCTTGATTGGACGAGCCTTGGCGGGCGGCACCTCCGTGGCCGGAGCATCTCCTGATTTCTTGGGAGCACAAGGCTTCTCATGCGGAGGTGTGCAATCTGGCGGCAGCTTTTTAGCTGCTGGGAGTGTTGAGGCTGTGGCAGGGACAACAGCCCCCGCTGGCAAGTGCGAGGGCCGCTGTTTCCCAATTTTCCTCTTGCTCGGGGAGGCGCCAAAGACGGCACTTAGCCCGCTGAGGCTTGCACGTATCCGCTGGCCGATTCCCGCCACAGAACAAGAGCTCGAACTGGCTCGATCTGGGGTCCTGGGGTGTAGCTCTGGGACCGGTCTGGGTTTGCGGTTATGTGATGCACATGCCTGATCGCCATGTACATTCGAGGATGCAAGCTGAGTAGAGCTTGCAGCTGGCTCTGCTCTCAAAGTGTTTGACGTTGCGCTTGGCGCTGCGTCTTGTGCCGTGCTTGGCACAGCGGGTGCCGCGGCTGGAGACCACAAAGACGGCGCCGCTTTGGCAACCTGATGTTGGATTCGGCAAACTGTTCTGCAAACTTTTTGAACCAGCAACTGGAAAGCCTTGACGAACCATGCCTGCCAGTGAAAACAACCCAAAATTTATCTACAATCCGTGCGAACGTACGAAGACAATACGATCCAATAACGTCGCTGCCTACTGCCTGATGGGACTGGATCCAACGCAAACGCATGCCCAGATAGAGGCCGCGAAATCATCCAAGTCACCTTGCCCAGCAACTCCCATGCTGGTAAGGTGCCACGCTGCAGCATCCTGGCAGCCAGACTGTCCCTGGGAAGGGATGCCATGGCAGCGGCCGCAGCTCGAGCCCGTGTGAGCTATCCCAGGCCCCAGATGGCAATGGAATTGGTTGGATTGAGGCAACGATGAAGCATGCACACATGGGTCTTTATATGCGGGGATGGTTCACAAGGAACGAGAACTTGAACTGTTCCCCTGCCTCGCCAACAATCCCCCCCGGCGGCACCTTCTGCGGATTACTTGCAAATTGCTCAAAAATCCATGGAACAAGTTACACGCACTTCACTGCCTCCGTTGCTGGATCTGCATCTCGATCTCTTGGTGGATCTTTTGCAGGGTCGGGCAATCCTATAACGAGGGCAGACTCTCAGAGCTGTCTCAAGGGAACCGGTTCGAAAACCTCTTCGCTGTCATCAAACGTGCTTCCGCGCCAAATCTGATACGTTCTGAATACTGGAAATGATCGCAGGGCAAAACTGAGAACACAGCGACCCACCTCCCTAAGCTCCTAGCGTGATGACATGTTAACCTGGTTGGAAAGGTGTACATGACAGGGCCTGCCACGCTCATGACGCGCAGCACCTGCAAACAGCAGCCGATGCATGCACAAGCATAATTCTAATGACGCAAGCACATATTTGCACATAGCTGCGACTGGCCTTCGGTGTGCTTGGAGCTGGCGCGACATGAATTGCACCCTCCCCCTCCTACCTAAATCTCTGGGTCTGTCAAGCCGAGATGCCAACCCCACACCCGGTCCGCCAAGCATGCCCAATTCTGATGCTGAGAGTTTGGCAGCTTTGGTGGCAACCTGTCACGAACGTCAGTAGAATGTTAACCGCCATTTCTGAAACTCATGTCATGTCATCTTTGGCCTGTTTGGGCGCAGGGGTGCTGTACAAGAACAAATTTCATCGCAGTATACACGGGTGAACGTGCGGTACCCGTCTGTTGCGGCGACGTCTCGGAACCTCCCGTACAGCTTCATTGCATGTGATTTATCGATACTTATCTAGAACTTGACATGACAGCCTTGTACCTTTTTTTTGCATGCGGGTTTTTGCGGTTGATATGCGCTTTTTTGCCTCCTCCAGCCTGATGGGCGGGCTCAAGGACGCCATCAGAGCGCAAAGAAAAAGAAAGAGACAGATAAGGAGAATGATAAAGAGGATTTATAAAAAAAAATAGAAACTATGACGCGTTGTGGGGTCATGGGGTGCATCCCTGACAAGCTCTTTCGGAGGCTCTCGGCTTGATGAAAGGTGCATGCATTGTGAACGCATATCCCATGTGCAGATCCAACAGCTTTGCTGCCCCAAGCGCCAGCCGCGTGGCCACTCGCCCGGACTTGTTTCGCCCGCCGCCGGTGCGCCCTGGCCCTCCAGGACCGCGCGCCACGTGGGACTTTCCGTCCACCCTTCCCCTTGCAGGGTCTGCCTGGCCTCAGCCGCCTCCTGTAGGCACGTTGCATGGCCCTCTCCTGCTTCCAGAAGCTCCGTGTATTTGTTGGCCCACTCAGGCAACTGGTCGCGCAAGGGCACCAAGGCGTCCGCCCAGGCGTCCCAGTACGCCGCCGGTGCTGTGCGTTCAGCTGATCGCAAACCTAGTGCTAGTGGCATGGCGACGTCGCCTGCGACTGGCCGCCACTTTGCCCCAATGGGTGCGGCCCCAACCCAGGTTGCGGTGGCACAGTGGACGCCTTTGGCGTCCAAGAACGGGCTTGCTGGCCAGACGTGCCAAAGTCGTGGAGCGCGCCTGGGTCCGAGTGGCGCGGGAAGCTGTGGGGCCGGAAGGCCAGGTCGTGCCACAACAGTGGCTCGCCCACACGACTGCTCCCGGCGTGCAGCCACACGTCGTGTATGGGGCTACAACTCGCGGTGGCGCGCTTTGCTGCGATGCGACCCTGGTGTCCCCTCTCACAAGGACGGGTCACCTTCAGCCCTGCGCCGTCCAAGTTGATGGGGCCGCCCGGCAGGTTGCAGAGCGTTGCAAGCAGGCAGCCTACCCCGAGCTCACGCGCGGAGGCCCGCAAACACTGCTGGTGCTGGGGTCCGAGATCGGCGGTCGATGGAGCACCGGGGCCCGGCGCTTCGTCCGCGACCTGGTCC